ACATACAGACAGACAGACATACAGACATACAGACATACAGACAGACATACAGACAGACAGACATACAGACATACAGACAGACATACAGACAGACAGACAGACAGACATACAGACATACAGACAGACATACAGACATACAGACAGACATACAGGCAGACAGACAGACATACAGGCAGACATACAGACATACAGACAGACATACAGACAGACAGACAGACATACAGACATACAAATACATTGAGTATCTGTGGGTGAATCTATCTGCGTGTTGCAGCCACATGCGATTCTAGGGATCCACCCCCAAACCATAGGAACCGCTTGAGTTGCAGCTGACTTCAGTCAAGGCCATGTACCCTCCGAATCCAAAATGGTAATTGACAATCCCCTAACGGTGGATGTTTTCAATGGAACATCTCCTATAAATTGATTTTTTCATGGGTAAACCCTCTAAAACTGAAAACTTAAAATTGGAAAATCAACTAAACCTAGGATATTTTTTGTTTTCAAACCATGGAGCTGATGACGTCTCAGACGCTGGTAAACTCCAGCATTGCCCTCTCAGGTAATCAATGCAACTTCGCTCACTCTGAGGAGGAAACGCTCGGAAGGGACACAGTGGTTGACGTGGTTGATGTGGTTGATGTGCTTGCGAAATCCTGCGGTAGATGATCGGCAAAATCCCATGAAAATCCCATGGTCAATAGTCCCAGTATGTCCCAGTGTATTATGTTTAGCTTCATAATTAGCAACTGGTGATTCGGATTTCGCAACCATCCACAGTATTGCTTCAATGTGGGGTACCCAAGATACTTCTATTGGCTAAAAACAAAACTGACCAGGAATTAGATGGAATTAGATGGTGGATATATCATAATACATCCACGCTATTCCACGCTTCGATGGCTTTACAAACTCGCTCAGAATTGCAGAACCCCCATTCGCATGGATCAAAATTAACCGGTATCACTTTCATGACATCAAACTAGCTGGTACTTGTGGATGTTCATTCGCCATGGCATCATTCGGCATCGTTGATCATGTTCGTTGGCCTAGAACTTATTGAATCTTATTGAAATAAAACAGCCTACAACTGATTATGAACATAACTGTATAGGTGCAATGTGGTGTTACTTTAATTGGGGTCCCCAACCTTTGTGTTTTTCGCTTGGAATAGACTTTCCAAGATACGACTGGATCATCCATGAAATTAACATGACGACCCTGCCAGATAGGGGTTTTGTATCGGCCTGTCTCATACTTTCTACTCAAAATGGGTGATTTTCACGGTGTATCTTTATGACCCAAAGGGGTCCAGAGGGTAAGCTATACACATACATACACATAAATACATATATATATATACATACATATATATAGATATACATATGTATATATACATATATATATACATATATATATATACATATATATATGTAACATATTTATGTATATATATATACATATATATATATTTATACATAACTATAAACACTTTACATATATATATATATCTAATATATAATACTTATATATATATATACATAAATATACAATACATATATCTACATATATAAATATAATACATATATATAATACATATATATATATATATTATTGATACATATATATATATGTTATTGATACATATATATAATTATACATAGACGCACATATATACACATATATATTCATATATATATATACATATCATACATATATATATACATACATATACATACATATATATATATACATATACATACATACATATATATACATCCATAAATATACATAAATACATATATATTATACATATTATATACATATATATATATACACACATATATATATATACATATATATATACATCTTACATACGAACATACATATATGTATATATATACATACATACATATGATTATATATATCATAAACATTTATTCTCGAAGGATTCGCTGTAACGTTACGGCTTATTAAGCCGCCCCTTGTGGCTGTTGGACGTCCACAGAACAGTCGCTTTTCGCCCGACCAGGAGCTGAGGTCGCGTCCCAATTTGGCAGCAACGGGCTTGTGCTACCAGTTTATGTCCAAGGGCCACTTGGGAGACAATTTTTTTGCGGGAGAAGGATGCTGATTGATGTGAAGTTCTTCACCTATATTTTTGATGTGTGTGTATATATACACACACGCTTTATGTTGATGGTTCGGTCAAGATTCATTACTGTCATGTCTTTTCTTCCCTCTGTGAATACTATATACACTATACTTGCCAGCTAAAACGATGCAAGGGTATCATCAAGGTATCCAAGATTGGCAGATTGGCCATATGAAAGGCTACCGGGATGACTCTTGATATCTCCCATTGGTGGAGATGGGCCCTGCTCACACAGAGAACTTATCCCAGCTTGCTATCGATGAATTTATGATGACATGATGAATGTATGAATAGATGTATGATTTTACTATAGATGTTCTTATCCCACCTTACTTATAAATGATGCCTGACCAGAATTTAGTGAATCATCCCAAGAGCAGCAGACATGAATTATGTTCACCCAGATCTACAACGTGGCGACCCATTTTTCTAGTTCAGTTGGTTTTTGGTCAACTGGATTTATGGTGGATATATATATATATACATATATATATATATACATATATATATGAATTATGATGACATGCAGCCAGAACCCAGGGACCCAGTGGTTCTTGCGTTCTTGGGGACGGAGAACGGGTCACTTGGGAGCCTGACCCAACTTTTTGTTCATATGAAATCAGATGTGCATCTAATCACATGTTTATTGCTTGTGGTTCCCTCATTGCCATGCTGGAATGGTTCCATCCGCCAGCTGCATCTAGCACGATTTGGTTTTTCCAAGTGCTGCGGCTTCAAAGTATGGTGCAGTGAATGTGGCTTTTTTTCGTGGTTGAATTGTGGATTTACTGGGGTCAACATAGGCTTCACATGGCTGTGTCTGATAGCAATTTCATACATAAAACGTATGGCAAATCGGTAAACCATGGGATTTGGGGTGTACTACCTCGGGTAATTTGTTACACAGCTATTGGAAGCCATGGACCATTTAGTTCGTTGATCTACCTATTACTGTTAGTTTACCAGAAGGTAAAAGATGGTAAAACATAGTTGATGCTAAATATTGGTGATTAATAATGATTAATCTCCTATGTTATCATGGTGATTAATCACCATTAATATCCATCTTTTCACCATGAATATGGGTGATTTTCATGGATTTGGGGTGTACTAACCATGTTCAGACAATCCCACATGTCACATATATAGGTCCCACGCCCGCTGTCAGGCCAGTGCAAGCGGGGCGAGTCCTGTACCTTCGCTCACGGCAGGAAGGAGCTACGTGCCATGGCACTAGCTCTTAGCCTCCAGTTAACTAAAATGGGGATGGGTCAAAACCTTGTACCCCTGGTGAACCCCAAAATAGCTGGTAAATGGTATCTATAGGTATTGACCCATACCCAAATGATAGTAAATGATTAATCTGGGTAGAAACTAATCCTAACTAGTCTTTTGGTATGGGATTATCTACTAACTATACTGGACAACTAACTAATAGGTAAATCATCCATAGTAAATGTTACATAAGATGATTAGTAAAATTTAATGCGAGTAAACTAACATGATAAAGAGATATAAAGAGTGAGGCTAAGAGTGAGGCTAAGATGATAGTCAACATTTACTCACTGATAGTGTTTACTGATTACTGCGTCATTTAATCATTTACCCAGATTCATCATTTACTGTAAACTAACATGATAGTAACCGATTAATCTGGGTAAATTTAATCACGACCTCACAACTTCTCCCTCACTGGAATCAAGAGGAATCATCCCAAAATGGCCAAAAAAATCAGGCTTGTGAATTATTATAAGTTGCCTAGATTTTAATAGGTAAATCATCTATAAGTCTATAAATGGCAATTTATCATCATACATACCCTCTGGCATTTGTTACATAGCTATGGAAGCCATGGACCATTTAGCTCGTTGATTTACCTATGAAAGATAGTGATTTTCCATAGCTTTTTGTAAAATCACCAGAGGGTAGCATCAACCATTCGACGATCGACCATAGAAATCACCATGAACATATCCATGAAATTCACCAATAATTAACATGAACCACCATTAATCACCATTGATATATCCATGAAACTCACCCTTAACGGTGATTAATGGATATTAATGGTGATTAATCACCGTGATAACATATTAATTTCCATATTAATGTCCATATTAATCATTATTAATCACCAATATTTAGCATCAACCATGTTTTACCATCTTTTACCCTCTGGTAAATTAACAGTTTGCGAACCGGAAAATCACCATCAATAGGTAGATCAACGAACTAAATGGTCCATGGCTTCCAGTAGATTATGATACGTACCGCCGGGAGTGATTCTGTGCTGGCAGCAGACGGAGCAGCGACGTGGAAAGCAGTGGCCAAGGAGAAGACCATTCCCTTTGATGGTGTCAACCACATATGGTATAATAAACTATTAATCAGATATTAATGGATGATAACCAAATATGGTTAATGGATAATAACCATATACTGATTGGTGGTTTGGAACATTAATTTTGTTTTTCCATTCAGTTGGGAATGTCATATATATATATAATCCCAACTGAAGAACTCATATTTTTCAGAGGGGTTGAAACCACCGACGACAAAATTGTTGAAGTCAAAAAATCAAAAACTCTTCTCGCAAGACCATGGAGAAGCAGTGTCGAGGAAAGCAGCCCGGGGCCGCATCTTCTGCTCGAGTACTTCACCGTAGCCTCTGGTGACAACATGGCCGAGGGATGCCTTGGCACAAGCAGGGAATGCGACGAATGGGACTGGTGGGTCGAGGAAATTCTATTCACCTAGATGTGAGATCCATGCAATCGATGTGCGCAGCACTGGTGCGCAGGGCTGAGCACTGTCCTGTAAGCATTGGCTTCTTACAGACTGGCGTGCACTTCCGGCGTCCAACACATGTACCTGGCTCTACGACGCATAACTTTGCATATAAGCCTCCTCCAGACAAAAAAAGCATAGCAGCCGTGAGAAGAGGTTGTGCGTGTGACAAGGAGAATTGCCGATATCATGATGATCCTTTTACTCTGATGATATCATTCATGCTTTTGTGTTCAAATACAAACATATACATCATATACATGTTGCATATACATGATGATATGCATATATATATATCTTGATGTATGTATATGTGTACATGATGATATACATCATGATACAAATGATGATAGACATGATGATACACGTAATGAAATACAATTGCGAGTCACGGGCAAGCCATAGGGTCTTGCCGTAATAATAGGTTACCAGAGGGTATCATAATTTTCGCCAGTACACTTGCAAAACATTGGGTGACCTATATTTTCGGACAAAGCCCGTAATAGTTCCGAGATGGGCGATCTTCAAACATGGATTGAATTGGATGAGCAGCCAGCGTGGGTAAAGAAGCAACCAGCATTTCTTTGATCTTTCTGTTAAGGTTCAATGTGAGCAAGAGGAAGACATCAGCCAAGAAAAGCTGTTCTTTTCCCAACAACCATTTGTGCCAGCCTTTGTTTGGTCGGTTATTCGCTATTTTTTAAATAAACTGACCAGCAGCTAAGAGCAACCTTTTTTGGAGGCTTTGTGGCATGCATGGGCTGATATCGCAAGTCCGACCAAAAATGCAGGGGAATCAGCTCCTGTCAAGTCATTGGGTAATTGGATACGAATAGGTACAATCTTCTTCACGTACAATCTTCTTCAATCCAACAAATACTGATACTGGCCTGGGATTCTTGCTACACTGAATCTTGGGGTGTATTTTTGGAACAAATTTCCGCTATGCTTGCTGGTTTGGGGTTTCAACTACCTCATTTCTCGCTATAATTCTTGAAGTGTTAGAATGTTTTAAAATAAAAAGGCAGCAACTTCACATTGTTGGTGCCATCTCCCATTGAAACTCTTAGATTTTCTGGTTGCACGTCCCCGAAGAAAAAAATCCGCGTAGTTTATTGGTTAAACCGTACCACTTTTGTTGCTAGATTTCCAAACATTGTTATATCATTTTATATGCCCATGGAACCCATTGCATGCACCCTCCATTTTATTGATCAAACATCTAGCCTTCATGGTGAATCAACCAGTCACAAAATATTTTTTTGTTCTTGAGTGGTTTGGTGGTTTATCAGCATTGTCTAGTGGAGACCTTATGGCTTTCCACTGTTAACGGGGTCAAAACCGGAAACAAAAACACGTCATTTTCTGCTGATAAACCCGTGCGCGAAAAATGATGGAATATTTAGCTGGGTCATTTTGGGGTAAATGTTGTTCAAAGTTCCATACATGGAGCAGTAGCAAATACACCAACCAAATATCCTCATTGGTAAAATCATATATTGCTAGATATACCAACTAAATATCCCCTATTGGATGAATAGATATTAATAAATAATCTTTAGCTGCTATATTTCCTCAAATGTTGACATATGTAGCAAATTAGTACTAAATTGTCGAGGATATTGTACCTATGTATACTGTATACACTAGCAAATCTTGCCATTGTCATTTTTTGCGGAAGACTTTTATCAGGTGAGATCCCAAAAGACGTGAAGGAGACTCGAGAACAGGAGGCTGTCGAGCTCCGGTCCAAGTCGCTGGGCGTTGGGATGGAAGATGGGTACCCAAAAAAAAGATGGGTAAATGGTTGACATCAAAGCCATTGGAAAATCTACGTCAGTAAAATCGATTGATCGTCAAGCCATTGAAATTGGTTACCCTCTGGTAAACATACAATTTTAACTATGGAACATCACCAGTTCAATAGGTAAATCAACGAACTAAATGGTTCATTTTCAATAGCTTTTTGTATATTTACCCTCTGGTAAACTAACATAGCTATGGAAAATCACCATTTTTTATGGGTAAATCAACTATAAATGGCCATTTTCAATAGCTACGTTAAATTACCAGAGGGTACGTGCGAGGGTAACATCTCTGGTTCCTCCAAGGCGACCGGCACCGCCTGTCGCAGCGCCTGTCGCAGCGCCTGGCGCTTCGTCGGCGTCTTTGCCGCTGCCGTTGCTGCCGCCTTTGCTGCCGATCGATGAGCTTCTGTTGAGCGCAGGCGGGGTATGGAGCGATGGATCAGCCAGTTATGCCAGTTTAAGTGCAATAAGATGTTGTTCAACATGTAACTACCTGGTACATCCTTATATATATGTAATATCATGTAATTGTATTGTTGTTATTATATTCATTGTTATTACAATTCCATATATGTAACATTATGTAATGTTAGTACTTAATTGCGAACAGATCTGAATCTTATTTCTTCATACTACTAGTACCTGTTTCGGAGTTGCACGTAACCAGCGGACCAACTTTCGGAGTTGCACTCTACGCTGATCCCAACGGTGTGCCAAGAGAGCAAAATCCTACTGAAGTAATGATCAATGACTTTTTTTGGGGGTTTACTCAATAAATATACACATAGTACCGTCAATATGATAAACGTGTATTGATACTATTTTAGTCAAAAGGTCCAGTGAGTAAATCTATGACTTGTTTTTGGCAAACCTCTTTTGTTGAGAACGGTCCAGCGAACCCCCTGAGGGGAGAAGGTCCGGCCAAAGATATACAACTTGTTGTTTGGCGCCTTCCCGAAGTTAAAAGTTAGAGAGACACATCTAAATTTTGGAGGAACAGGTGGGGGGGTTGGAAAACGCCATGGCGCATGCAGGATTTGATCATCTCCAGGCAAAAACAATAGGGTGATTTTAATGATCAAACGAAGCAACAGATGTGAAAATGGGGACACAAACGTCGGGTTTAATTTGTTCTGGGGGGATGAAATCCTAAAAAAGTTCGACGAAAGATATGTCCCGTGGCTTGGCGTCATGTCCCTGCACAGGTGGTTGCATAAAGTCAGGAAGCAGGGCTTCAGTTTTATGATATAAGAGGGGGGGGTGGTAAAGCCATTCTTGTGGGTTTATCTTGGACCCGGGAAATTAAGATTGAAAAGGTCGGGGGCCACGAAAATAATAAGAATATTTTCCGAGGGCGGACCTTCAGGGCTAGAGTCAACGGGGATTCGAATGTGGCGGCTCATGGTGCCTGCTGTGCCCAACAGGGTCTGTGTGCAGCTCGAATTATCCATCGAAGCTGTTGACGACAAAGCGACAGTAGACAGCGTCATCCAGCGTTAATCACATACACCCTGCTCCACGGTTCTGCTTGAAGTATGACGTAGTGAGGGCACACAAGCTAGTGCCAGTTCAACAAGATGATTGGCCGTATCAAGCATTTTCTTTGGATGACATGGGGGTTGCTCATGCAGACCGTAGGTGCGCTTGGTTTAGCTTCTGTCGCATATTGGCGGCGCCGGTTGCAGCAGCAGTTTTGCATTTGGCGCACTAGGTGCTACATGATGTAGCGGCATACCTTGTGCCCAAATGGGTACCTCCTGAAGCCGCTGTCGCAAGGGGGTTGGGGGCTGGATGCATTACCCAGCAATTTGTGCTGCTCCCGGTCCAGAGAATCTGCTGGCTTGGTAAGTGACAGCAAGGTTCCTCTTGCGCATGATTGGCCGGATTATCTCAAAAGCTGGTTTTATAGCCAAGATGTTCCACATAGTTGCTCTAGATGAATCTTGCGGAAAGAGTGAATATTGATTGTCTAGACAAGATTAAAGCCCCATCCCTTATTACTATATAAACACCCATCACAATATGAACCACCAACATGAACAGACCCAATGCTAAGCCAAGCTTTCTGGGGGGTATTTCGATTGGTGTAGGGTTGATATGGGTTGACAATGAGTTGAGCTGGTCTGGGTGATTCAATTTCGATTAGACAACCCATCTTGGATGCTTGACCCTCCTGGATTCAAATATGATCTTTTCTTGGTGTTGCCTGGTTTCACAGCACATCGTCCCAATGATCTTCCACAAGAAGTAGACCCACATTTTCCTGGTGAGATCATGTTATCCATCATGTTTTTTCGGCAAAATCATCTTGAATACACTTATGGTCCCAACGGCATACATGGGATTGTAACTCCTATCGCGCAGGTTATATATATCATGATAAACCAGTTGAAAGGTTAAGGGCCATAACTTCAACCATGTCTGTGGTGAAAAACCAACAGTTTTTGCCAGGCCTGGCGGTGTCCATGCGCCCTCCCCCGGGCCTTCCCCCACCAGTGCCGACCGCCGCATCGCTGGCCGCATCCGCCATGGCCCAAGCCGCGCACGCTGCGGCGCTGGCGGCGGTGTCCGTGCTGTCCACGGAGCAGTTGAGACTTCGGCACAACTTGGGGAGTTAGGAAAATGGTGGATATACTTGGTGGCTCATCCCACTTAGTGGGTGGTTAGTTCATCCTAGTTATAGGTGGGTTAACCCTACTTATCCCACATGTAACTGGGGTATAGTCCACTGACTAACTGGGATGAACCACCAAGTAGTTGGACCACGGCCTTTAGATGGGTGTTTTGTTGACGTTGGAGGGGGTGGTGTGGGGTGGGGTGGGGTGGGGCATGTATTAATCTTCATGTGAACTTGCAGATGAAGGACATGCTACGCTGTGGCTGCCGGCAGGTGCATGTATTCATGGGTAGGGTGGGGTGGGCATGTATTAACGTTCATGTGAACTTTGCACTCATACGTCATGCTACGCTAGTTCTCGTGAACCTTGCACTCATACGTCATGCTACGCTACTGGAAGTTCTCTTGAACTTTGCACTCATACGTCATGCTAGGCTACTTAGCGGCTACTGGAAGTTCTCTTGAACTGTGCGCTCATACGTCTAGCTAGGCTACTAGAAGTTCTCTTGAACTGGAAGCGCTTCTCTGACCAAAAGATGCCGAAAAACATGTGAGGACGAAGTAGTTTCAGGGTCGGCAAAAAACCCAAGAATGCTAGTTTCGTGCAGGCAAAATACCTGTTTTCGTGAAGCTGCTTGTGAATAAGGGGTTGACGACCTTTAAAATATCATCACACAAATTCCTATTGGCACGAGCACATCAAACATGATCAATGACATCCCATTAATCACAAAAAAACCCACGGCCATCTAAAGGCCGTGCTCCTAGTTTGGGAATAAAATGGACATATCATGGTTTTAATTAATGGATGTAATGGGCGTTGATGCAATATATAGTGTGTGTGTATAATGGATATACTATGGATTTAGAGTGGCTTATGAAACTATTATTGGGATACAACGAGTGCCATATAGCGGAAATAGTTTGATAGATACTGGAGTTCAACTATAGGGATATGATATAGCCAACTGTATGGGTGTTTCATGGTGATAGCCGGGGAAACTGCTGAAAGCTAACCTGGATGAATGGTAGTTTGGTTGACAGAACTTCTGCTTCTCAAATGTGGCAAACAAACATTGGGCATATGCTCCCCGGTGCTGTGCTGGCACATTCACCTACATAGATGGGCAGCTCTGGGGGATAAGTAACGTGCAGCCACCTTACCGCGGCGTCACTGCAAATGATGGTTAGCAGGGGTATCCTAAAGTTCCCCAAGCAGTGTCTCCACACTGAGGGTTTTTTACGGTAGGTGCTACTAAAAGGCCGGGGTTAGATCAGGATACGCTCTGTGGCCTCCAGCGCTTTTGCTGTAAATTCTTGCGCGAGAGTTCCCTTGTGAGATGTCCGTGGGCATTTTGATTGGGGAGGCTTGCGGTACAGGACATTGGACACTTTTTCATCCGCGTGGCAGGCGTGGCCTTTCTGCACCTTGCTAAACTGTCTGCAGGCGTGGGGTCAAAATGAGAGGTGCTTTTGAAGGTCATTTTTCGTGGCAGGCGCAGTAGGGTCGAAAATCTCGTTTTGTGAAACTCTCATCATTTTTGATTTTGGACATGATGATGACGGTGGTGGTGGTGGTGATGATTCCGTGTGGCAGGTGCAGCACATTGGATGCTTCCGGCTCAGGTGCGAATTTTGACATCGCTCGCGCAACCTTCTCGGCACCTTCTGCGTGTCGGATCGCTCTCGTCGTGGCGCGGTGCTGATTTTAGCTGATTCCCTGAGGTTTTGCGTGGTAAAGAGATCTTATGAATTCTTTGGAAGGTCCTTCTACGACGATCCTGCGAGAGTTTCATGGTGCAGTCATGGAGGTTTGTGATATGTGAAGATCTTCACCAGACCAAGGTCTCGTAGAGGTCCTTGTGAGAAGATGTTGAAGATCCTGATGAAATTCCTGTCAGGGGTCCTTGCATAATCTTGTCTTAGATCTTGTGAAGATCCTGCTGACATCCTCCAAGAGGTCTTTGCACGATCTTGCACAGGTCCTAAAAAGAAGATCTTGTGGAGATCTTGGTGACGTCCTCTCTAAGAGGTTCTTGCATGATCTTGTACAGAGGTCCTTGCATGAAGATCTTGCAGATGCCATGTATTTGAGATGCTTCTACGAAAGCTCTTCTGGGATGCACTTGGGAGGTTCTTGTATCAAGATCTTGTAAGATCCTCGGGCCTTTTATGACGATCTTGTGGGATTCTCTTGGGGGTCCTGGCATGAAGATCTAGGTGAAGATCTAAGTCAGGGTCTTTTACAATTCCTTGTGAGAAGATCCTGGAGAGATCCTGGTGAAATCCTCTAAGAGGGTGTTGCGTGATCTCGTACAGGTCCTTGTGAGAAGGTCTTGTGGAAATCCTGTTGAATCCTCCTCAAGAGGTACTTGCATTAAGATCTTCAAACTGCTCTGCGTAGGTGCTTGCATGCAAGTTCTTCGATGCTCATAGCAAGTTCTTGTATGAAGATCTTGTGAGATCCTCTATATAGAAGGTCCTTCTTTGACAAGCTTTTGATATTCTCTTAGATGTCCTGGTTTGAGGTTCTGGTATGAGGTGCTGATGAGTACACATAGCATTGTTTCTTGTGCCAAAACAAATTCTTCCTGCTGCAGTTCCCATGCTGTTTGACCTGACGTGTTACTGTTCCATAGCTACTGTTCCTTGTATCTGGCACATTGACTTCCTACCCCCCCACACTGATTGGGGCCCCTTGCCGGTGTAATGTTTTATTTTTTCAAGTTGGCGAATTTTGGCAACTCTGATGATATCACCGTGGTAAAATGGGGACAGTAGTGGGATACAACGTAGTAGAATCAAATAGTAATAAGAAAACAAAAAATGAGTAACTAGTATACTGTAGTTTTTGCGTTATTAATGGAAGAACAACCAACGGCATTATGTTGTTTTTGAACTGGACCTGTCTGAAAATAAGGCATCGGGTCCAAACGATTCAAAGGGGTTAAACGATGCCGTACCAGTGGGTTTATATCAGGGCAGACTATTTTCAATCAAACCCAGCTCAGAAAAATACCAATGTTTTAGAAAAAACAGTGTCTATACATGCTTACGTAAATAACCAAGAATCTTCCATTCATCACTTCCCGTCCAACCTGTTTGTCGTTTCTTCAATACCCATATTTGTGGGTTGAACCCACATGTTTGCACATGTTTCTTTGCTGACTCCATGTATATAACTCCCATCAATTCAAGTTGTTGATTGGGAAACCATGAGTATTTGTAGGGCCCGTTTGTGTTTTCTACATGTAAGTTGAACAACTTCAAGAGACCCAGTTGGTTGATTATTATATAGGAGACTACCAGTACTACCGCGCAAGGCGGAAACCTATAGGAGAGCTTGGTTGTTGTGAATCACGGATGGCAGAGTGAAGCCACTGATGGGCCGAAAGGTGCTTGAGGTCTCCTCTCTCTCTTTCTCTCTCTTTCTCTTTCTTTCTCTGACTATCTACCTACCTACCTACCTATCTATCTATGTATCTATCTATCTATATATCTATCTGCCTATCTATCTATCTATCCATCTATCTATCTATCTATCTATCTCTCTCTCTCTCTCTCGCATCTAACTACCTATTTATGAATCAACCAATCAATCAATCGATCTATCAACCGATCTATCTATCTATCTATCTATCTATCTCTCTATCTATCTATCTAATCTAATCTAATGTAATCTAATCTAATCTAATCTACATATCTATCTATCTATCTATCTATCTCTATCTCTCTATCTCTATCTATCTATAGCTATCTATCTCTCTATCTATGTATCTATCGATCGATCGATCGATCCATCTATCTATCTAACTACCTATCTATCTATCTATCCATCTATCTATCTATCTATCTAACTAACTATCTATCTATCTTATCTATCTACCTATCTATCTAATCTATCTAATGTATCTAGTCTATCTAGTCTATCTAGTCTATCTAGTCTTTCTAATCTATCTAATCTATATAGTCTATCTAGTCTATCTAGTCTATCTAATCTATCTACTCTATCTAATCTATCTAATCTATCTAATCTAACTAATCTATCTAACCTATCGAATCTATCTAATCTATCTAATCTACTAATCTATCTAATCTATCTATCTAGTCTATCTAATCTATCTAATCTATCTAACCTATCTAATCTATCTAATCTAATCTATCTAATTTACCTAATCTATCAAATCTATCTAATCTATCT